GGGGGGGGGGGGGGGGGGGTTGTGAAAGGAGACATAATAACGTGATGAAGGTGAAGAGAAGCAGAAGCATTCTGGAAAGAGGGAATACTAAAACAGTCTCGTCGCATCGGGAAATCGCAGCTTTTCATCACCGCTTAAATGTTTCTTGCTCTAATATTGAATCTGTTCAAATAATATACTAAATTTCCCTTTGAGTCTAAGAGCTACGTCGGTGTCTAATTTCGTTGAAGATCTATCAGTAACTTCTGAAAGGTTCTGGAGTAGTGATTTTTTTTCAAAAGTCCAGAATTATGATCCTTTTTTTCCAGGCTTCTGGAAGTTGTAGCGTTCAATGAAACTATTTAAAGCCATCGCCAGAGCTCTTTCATGTCAAATGTCCATGCTTAAAATCTTTTGCCTTGTTCACTGGCAAAACGCAATTGCCTCTTTTTTCTTTACCAATCTAAAAATGTTACTCGGTTTCGTTCCCACGGAGCCCAGCGAATTGGAATTCCTTGGGAAGGACTCAATCCCACACTTCTGAAAATGCGTCCTGGTCTGTTGCCAATTAACCCTTTCAGACCTCGCGTCCATTCCAATGGACATAGCATTTTCGTTGTTTCTGTGGTAATTTCTTGGGATTCTCGTAACTTTGCAGCCCATATTACACAAGAATTGACTCTATCATGCATGACTCAATTCCGTCGGAGGCCTTCAAACAAATTCACTATTGTCCATTGTCCAGGAAATTGATTTATTCATTTTCGAAGCGGAAAAACTTAAGAAAGTATGTGCCAGTCGAAATATGTGCCATGAGGGGGCTAACCAATATTTTTATCGAAATATTTATTCGTATTATTTCCTGCATGGCTAACTTCAAATCTCTTTATAATCTGCCCAGAGGGGATATATTTCAAAAGTCGGATTTGCACTCAGCAATGGAACGGGTAATTCTGCTCCAAGTTCGAACTTAATTCAGTTTTCTCTTTTAGTGGAACAAAAAAGACTTTAGAAATATCGCCTTTTGAAAAATAAAAGTGCCGTTTGGGGTTTTACCAACAAATTGATATTTTTTTAAAACTGAAATTAGTTCTAGGAAAACTTCGTACCTGGCAGTTTCAGCCTCATCCTTTTCCTCTTTTCGCTGGTGCAAAAATATCTCTGGAAAAGCCGACCCTCTCTAATGCTCTGCCCTAAGGGTATGCACCGCAAAAGTTGAATTGTTCTGAATTCAATATCACCCCAGTTATGTGTGAGCCAAGTTTCACCTTTCTATTTCTTCCCAATTCGCAAGGGACAAAAAATTATGTGAAAACGTCACCCTAAGAAAAAAAATGCCCCAGGGATGTATCGAAATCTTGACATTTTTACTGAACTCCTTGCCTCAGTAGTCCCATTTGTGCAAAGTTTAAGCTTTCCATGTTTATCCGTTTGACTGAAGCAAAAATATTGCTTTAAAAAATCTCCCATGAAATTTGCGCCTCTAGGACATTCACCACCAAAGTCTGATTTTTTCTGGGCTCAGACCCCCAATAGGTACTTATGTACCAAGTTTCACCTTTCTATTTCTGCTCGATTCGCTAGGAGAAAGAAAATTACTTGAAAACGTCAACCACCAAAATATGCCCGCAGGGCATGCATATGAAATATTACTTATTTTTTCTGAATTTATTGTCTCAAGAGGCACGTCTACGCGAAGTTTCAGCTTTCCATGTCTCTCCGTTTGACTGAAGCAAACATATATCTTTGAAAAAATCTCCCTCCCCCTCCCAATTGGATAACGGCAGGGCATGCACCTCCAAAATCGGATTTTTCTGAACTCAACAACCCGATAACTATTGTGTACCAAGTTTTAATGTCTAACTTCTCCAGAACATGGTTAGAATTAGCGTCAGTCATTCAGTCAGTCACGATTGTCTATATACATCACATAATACATGGTATAATGTGGTAAATTTATACAAAATATACAAACGATATATAGAACGTAAAAACGTAAAGTAGATAAGGAAAAGTGCTCAAAAATGCAAAAAAGTATATTATTCCGCTAGTGACATTAACTCAGGTCTGAAAGGGTTATGGAAGCTTACAATCGATCAGAACTCTTTCATTCCATTCAATTGCAGCTCCGTTTTGAACTTCCTTCAAAGAAACTTATTCTCGTCCATTTATTTGGTGAGGATCGCTCGATCGCACTTGTGGTGTGTCACTTCATCGTTCGAAGCGACGTGCGAGGGGCGTTCAAAAAGTGTTTGGACTTTTTCAATTTCTGCCCTTTGACCTAGCCCGACAAGCTGGCAAATTTGCAGGCTCAACAGCCATCATGAGCACGATGAATGAACAAGAGACGTTATCGGCAATACCATTCCGTCAGCACGCCTGATTCTGAATATATGCAATAGAAGGTAGCACGCAAGGGCAACGTTGGACAGTGTGGTTCCTGTGAAAGGAAGGAGAAAAGATCGTCAGCGCCGTTCGCAGGCTTCAGTATGGGAAGTCGGCTCCGTCAAAACAGACGGTCTACAAATGGGTACTTTCTTCTTCTATAGGTGTCCGTCAAACGACTGAAGATGCGCTACGATTTCTTAGACTAAGAACCTCTCATGCATAAAAACACATTGCAGTTGTTGAACGATCGGTCATGAACAACTGACTGATCACGCACCAGATGCTTGCTCTCGCAGTTAGATTCTCAACTGCTTCAATTAAAGTTATTTTGTACTATGATCTGTGGCTGGGAAAGGCTCGTGTGCGTTGGGTGCCACAACCGTCAACAGAGGAATTGAAGGTGCAACGGGAACAGACGAGTGTGGATTTGTTCCGCCTACCACAAATCATCCAAATGCTTTCTTCAAACGCCCTGTTTCTGGCGATGAAACCCAAATCCACGAACAGGAGACGAAATAGCAATCCAAGCTGTAGAAGCTTGGATTTGGAAGCATTGGAAGCATTCACCTGGTGCTTCTCCTGCTCCGGAAGAGCGAGTTGGGAATGGTCCTTTGTGTGATTTCATACCATAATTGGCCTCCTCTCGACAGGGCAGATACAAGTTCGAAATAAATAAGTGAAACAGACTGTTTAACTGCCTTCTGCCTATAGAGCCACATTATCAAATGCCATTTAGTATCATAAAAAGTATCAAAGCATTCAAAGTCTGCGTTTGCATCATACTGATTCGATACTCAAGCGGTTTTTTTTTCTTTTAGTTTTCCAAGTGGTTCCAACCATCCATACAAAATGGTGAAAAATACCTCTTATGCCTCTGTGGAGTGCGAGAGAAGCTTGAAGAATGCTCATACCTTCTTTCATTCTTTCCGAAAAGTTTTCTGATTCATTTTTCCCTTTTTAATCATGCTTGCTGGTCTGACCTGGTCTTTTCCTTCAGCGTCTGAGAACGAACGATACAAGGAGGTTGCAGCAGTCATCGTTCGATCCCAGGCTTCCAATCATGTTACTCGCTCACGGGTTCCTGGAACATGGACAGACGCCGTGGATACAGGTCCAGTCATTCACCTTCGTGATTTTCTGCACGGAAAGCTCTGACTTCCATGATACTAACATAGGTTGGTCAAATGCAGAAAACTAAGGATGAGCTGCTGAAGTTTAGAGACCAGAACGTGGTCGTGCTGAGTTGGTTCGGGGGATCCGGACCGCCATACAATCAAGCCCTGGCCAACATCCGCCTCGTCGGAGTCATGGGTGCTCATTTCCTCGCCTTCCTCGCCGTAAGATTTCCCATACTTCAACGCTACACACAAGCGCCAGAGATTTTTTGCCTTTGATTTAAGAATATTTGCTTCACTCCTCAAACCAATTTGCTATTGCGCCATTATTGACAGCACAACAGTAAAGCGATTCCCATACGAAGTCTCTAAAGGTATTTTCGTTGATTTCCTTGCTCGTACGATCAAAGCCGATTTATTAGGATAATGGAAGTAGGATTAGGCATTCCTCTGGTAAATCGTCTCCAAGTGAATATGGTCAACATGGCGCTGGTGAACTCGACTCAGAATGATCGGAACCGTGAATTGGAGTTGGATGGGCGGGAGATTGAACCACAAATTTTACTGAATATTTGATAGTTAATGCCTCCTTATTTTATTTGCAAAGTACACTTCAACATACATTTTTCCGCAACTTGGTCATGAGAAGTGGTCCAAATTGCAAGAGGCTGACGGTAACACGAGGTTGGGACATAGCTGTGAAAAATCTTGACTTTTGGGGTTCATGAGAAACACCAAACACTAGTACACCCGTTACTCTCGGTCCAACGGTCTTCGAGATATTTTTGAGTTTCTGAAGGGAAGGATGAAATTACCCTCGAAAGGCAGAAACAAAATCTCTGAAACTCCTCAAGCTAGTCAATGATTCATTTTTAAAACTTGAAAGCAGAACATTTTAATTTAGTGAGTTTTGCGTGAAAAAGTGAATCGAAGGGGGAAAAATACGAAAAGTGAGTTTAATAAAGTTGTTGAATTTCAATCTAAGAAAAAATTTCGTAATGAATATACTCGCAATCAATCCAACTTTGAGAAACGTATTATGTTCCGTTCCAAACGTCAACGACCTTTCACCACTAAATACCAGGCTTCAAGAATGTGTTTTAGAAGGACAAACTTTCACGCTTTTGGCAAATTTGGTGAACGTTCGCCCTCAACAACACCTGATTTGATTCGAGAAAAGAAGCATGATTACTTCATGAAATCATAGACAATTATTATTTCTTTAGAAACAATGGATGCATTTAACTTCTGAAATTCAAAGTTTCTGAGAATGCATTTGAAACACAAGATTTGCCTCGAATCGCCTATTACTTCCCATAATTATGCTTTAGACCTGAGGAAAATATTGCGATGGTTTTGTGGCTTCAAGAAGGGCAAGGGAGCACGTGCATCCATGCAAAATATTTCGAAACTATTTGTATCAAATTTAAAATCGATCTGTGAAAAAAAAGCAAAATCATGCATGGAAATGTTGGGAAATCATCAATTTTGCAGGAATTTTTTTGTTTTTTCACCCCCGAATGTTACGTGACATTTAATGACAACTTTTTAACATCTAACATGCCAAAAGCTAGGAAAGGAATTACAAGGAAAATGAAAATTTCTCGAAATTATTATTTTCGAAGTTCTGCAAAACTTCGGTTTACTCGTTTTTACCTGAGCAATATGGTCTCAGGAAAAAATTTACGCATTTGGAAATACTATAATGTACCTCGCATCACAATGGTGCGCATGGCTGCTATCCAAAAGAAGTTTAGATTTAAAACAAAGTTTTTGAACATTTTGGCCGAAAACGCAGTGAATATGTTAGTATTTCTTGATTTTAAGTTTAAAAGGAGCGACTGGCCAGCGTTATTACTTTAGTAAGTTTTTGAGGCGCTGTTTTTGTCTGTGACAAAAATTCTTATTTCTGTGACTAAAATTAAAAGGGCATATATTGCAGAGCGTAGGATCTAGAATATCGAAATTTCCGCTTAACTGGCATCTCATGGATCTCGAAAGCCACGATTTTTTTTGGCAGCTAAATCTATATCGGTTTGGCAAACAGCCTTGAAATCGTGAAAAAAACGAATGAATTCCATAGAAATAGCTTTATTTTATTGATGCGCCAAGTAATTCACATGTTTTGCGAAACATGCCCCAGTATCCTCAGAACAGAAATATTCCGACCTATCATTTACGACAATGGATGTGTATTTGGAAAGAGGGAGGCTGGGACGCGAATAGAGGAAATGCACGTGGTTGGTTTGAGTCTTGGAGCTCACCTGGCCTCCTACATCGGATCGGCGCTCAAGGACATGGGACAGGGGAAACTGGGTCGCATCACCGGCCTCGACCCGGCTGGACCCCTGTTCGAATTCACACATCCCCTAGTGAGACTCGATCCCGAGGATGCCCTTTTCGTGGATGTCATTCACAGTGACGCTGCTCCTCTCGCAGCAGGAGGTAAGGGTATGAATACCAAGCCTTACCCAGTCAAAAATTTTCGCCAGTTTATCGGTGGGCCATAGCTGAGGAGGTTGGCTCATCTTCGAGAATGATTGAATCATTCGCCGAAGATGAACCAATATGGCTGAGTAGATTCCCAAAATCGCGTGAGATGGAGCCAAAGTGGTCGTAGAAGGGAATCACTAACCGGATTCTAAACAGATAAGTCCCCAATCCCTTTTATGCAATTCCCTATAGTTTGTCACACAGATATCAAAGGAAGAAAATTGAATTCCTCGAACCATTCATCAGAAGATGTAACCTAGCCTTGGTATAAACCAGGAAATTCAATTCCGGATGCCCGGGGGAGTATCCTTATCATTTTCACGATAAGCTACGTCATTTTTTCATGAATGACAATGAAAAGTTTCTTATGTTAGGCACGACTTGCCTGCCGAGAGAGGACAGATACCCTTCCATTCCCATGTGATTCCTCTCCTGGAAGCCTTAGCTTCCCAAGGAGATGTTTTTTGGAATATTCTCAGCTCTTGGTGTTGGCGTGTACCTGTGTAAGGTACTGTGATGAGGTACTGTTCTTTCATCACTCTCAGATGAAGGAGCAGTAAGGGGTCAAAGGATGCATTCTCATCTCTCCAAGATGCATAATGCTGTAGGTGCTGTTTACGTTGTTTTTCTTTCTATCTATTTTCATTAGTAAGACAAGTCGGCTCTTGGCTCATGTTGGAGCATGTGCGGTTTCCTAACAATGAGCCGCCCAAGTTTGCCCGATGAAGTGCCAGCCGGACATGCCCAACCATTAGCCGACTTAAACCAGCAGTAAGTCAACCACATACCAGTGATGGCCCGAATGAGGCTTACATACGCGTCGACGAAATGCTATTGATGGTCCGAAGAAAAATTTCTGACTGGGTAGAGTGGATGCTGTTAGGTGTAATGTCACAAGGTATCTGCTGTGTCCCGTGACAGGATTAGGGATGGTTCAACCATTGGGTCACCAGGATTTTTATCCGAATTTCAATCGTCGCATACCTGGATGTGGTCTCTCGCTCCCGGATAGTCTCCAAAAGGAGAACGGTTCCATCATCTACGGTATGAATTGCGAGTTTCGAGTGCTTCATACTTTACACGCTACGTTTCTTGTAGATTTTTAGGAAACGAGTGCATTTGACAGGAAATTAATGTCTAGAGATATATTTTCCACAATTTCTTCATTGCATGAGACCCACAGCCAATTTCGTGAATAATGACTTCTTGGTTTTCGAAAGTTGATCATTGGCGTTTCTTCTAAGGACTTTCGATGTATCTCTTTTGCAACCACTTCATGAGCGCTAAATTCTTCATCGATTCCATCAACCCTCTCTGCCCTCTCGTCGCTTACCAGTGCTCCAATTGGGTCGAATTCAAGTGAGTTTTTTGTCTCATCGTCTACGCGTTTCTTTTGTGATTGTGCAAATAGGGAAACTTGTTCAAGGAACTTCTCCTTTAGTCATCTTGAGTTTACCTTGGACTGTATATATCCTGGGTGCTTTAAAAAAATTGCTGTTTTCTATGGGAGAAAGTTAGCGTCATGTATCCAACTAACATTGAGAAGTGGCTGACATTCTGGCTACAATAGGTAGAAGGCGTTGCATTATGTTTTTTGGGCTCCCTCCCTCCAATTGCGGTATTCTTTTGGTACAGACGAGGGTACTGACGAAAACCTAAATTTCATTCCAACACCCTGTAGCCTCCCAATTGCCTGCCGGTTGACAACAATGACCCAATGTCTGTTGCAAATACGAAGTTACATTTCTCCCAAAGAAAACGATTGAGGCTTTTGTAAATAATAATAAAAAATAGTCTAATGTACAATCCCAAGGATTTGACTGTCATGGGTGCAGGCGAGGAGGCTGTACGAGTTGTGGCCAGAGGGGAGAAAAGTGTGGTCAAATGGGATACCACGCAAGGGAAGCATGGAAACCAGATTCCTTCAAGGGGAAATCTCAGCAACTTTACCTCTTCGCCGGCGATTTCCGCCCATACTGCCGTACGATTTACTTCCCTTAATGGGATGCATTTCTTTGTCCTCGTTTTTATGAACTGATAAGGACGAAGTTGATTAGGGGTGACGCACTTGGTGACTGTGGTCCTGGCGGATCTCCAGACTGACAAACATGACGGAGATATCGACAAGTTTTATATCACTCTTCACGGCTCTCGCGGCTCTTCCTCCAGGTCACGACTCGGAGATGAGTATGTCTATGATTTCATCTGCATTTTCAATCGGTATGAGTCGGGGACCCGGAAACCCAAAGCGAATATTCTTTATATTTATTTCCAATCGACTCTCCGGTGCCTTCTCTTCAATTAAGGCGCATTTTTCCTTCATCGAAAAAAGGACGAAAACATTTAATCGTTGTCGCATAGCGCCTCCCCTCCCCCATTCTCTTTCCTCGTGGCCAAATGTATCCCTATTCTTCCTTTTTGATCGTCGAAACGTGTAGCATTTCAAGCTCTCGTGTAAGTGTTTGAATTAATATAAAAGTTTATTGTTTTTTTTCTCTATTCCGTTGCAAAGGTCATTCAGAGATGGCAATTGATTCACGCAAACGGGAAAAAAGAGACTTAAGGGGAAGCAATAACCGGCTCTTGCGTGAAAGTCTAATTATGAGATCGGAATGACAACTGTCCATGCCTCGTAAGGTCTGAAGGATACTCAAGATGGGGGGTCAATAAAACTGGTCTCTCCAGTTCTTTGAAGGTCTAATAGCATTCTCCCCCTCACTTTCCTTCAATTTTCTTTTCTATTTACTTGGAACGAGGATCACTTGCTGTCAAGGGCAGGTGGATTTTATGGAATTCGTAATTACAGGAAACTTGATGCGCTCATGGTCATGATACATGTCCCAATATCCCTTCCGTCCTTTCCTCCTGTGAACAATTGCCGGAGGCTATTATAGTACATGCACTTGTTTTGCATTCTGGATACCCTTGCATTCCCATGTGATTCCACTCTTGAATGCCTTAGCATTCGGAAGAAATGTTGCTTGTGATATTCTCAGCTCTTGGCGATAGGAGTGTAATTGTGTAAGGTACTCTGGTAAAGTACTGCCCCGTCATTTCTCCCATATTAAGGAACAGTTGGGGGGCAAAGGATCTCACCAAGATGCATAATGCTTTACGAGGTGGATGTGGTTGGTGTGGTTTTTTTCATAAATTTTTCACCATTGGGAAAAGTCGACTCATGGTTGGGGCATGTGCGGTATCCCAACAATGAGCCAAAGTTGACCCGATGAAGGGCCAAGAGGACATGCCCAAGCGCTAGCCGGCATAAACCGTAAGCCAACCAAATACCAGTGAAAAATTTTTCGTCTGATCGACCATCAATGGCTTTTCGTGAACACATATGTTGGCCTTAGTTGGGCCATCACTGGGATATGGTTGGCTTTCGGTTGGTTTAAGTCGTCTTATTGTTTGGCATGTCCTATTGGCCCTTCATCGGGCCAACTTTGGCTCACTTTCCCATATCTTTCCACTATTGTGAAAAGATATTGGGAAGAAAACCCACATAATCTGTACCTAGAACATTATGCATCTTGGAGAGATAAGAATGCATCCTTTGACGGAGGGATGAAGGAGCAGTACCTTACCAGAGTATGTTACACAGGTACACTCCTATCGCGAAGAGCTGAGAATATCCCAAGCAACATCTCTTGAGACATAAGAAACCATAGGGAATTTTGTCAATTAGACAGGGGACACATCTGCGTTGAATCCGGGAAGCGATTCTTTGCTACGACCACTATGGCTCCATCTCACTCTAGTTTTCGTAATCTTCTCAGCCACACTCACTCATCTTCATTCGCCAGCTTCCCCAATTATTGTCCGACAATAACCCAACGGAAAATTTAGTCTGGGTAGTGGGCAAGAAGGCATCGAGCTTAATTTTACACTTATTCCATGAGTGCTTCAGACACGTTCGCCATCTGGTTAAAGGAAGTGTAACCGTGCCATTTATAACGGTCTCTAAAAACTATAGCATGCTTTTCACGATGTAATGTTTCTTCGGAGAATGAGCGAGGGAAGAAGCGAATTCGCGAAACGCAAATTTTCACAAATGGCACCACGGCGTCTCGGGGAGCAGAGGGATGCGCACGTTTTGGGGCTCATCATTTAATATGTTCTGTGGCGAGGAGAATGGCGCAAATTTGACATTTCTGCGACCAAGGGTCGGGGAGATACAGATTTTCGAAGAGAGGCATGCAAATCGTGACCTTTGACCATTCGCCACGGTCAGGTGCTTGACCTGAGAGTGCCAAAAAGTGGCTCCAAGGCCCTCCCTTGGGGTCCTCTACAATAATTATAAGCCAGAATTTGATTCTAGGGGGGTCGATTTTCATCTTCCCTTAGTACATTAATATCAGTATCCCAAAACGGCAAGATTGATCCGAAAACCATTTGATAGCTCCAGAGATTTTAAATACGAACCAAACCATGAAGTGGCTCTTCCTATAAGGTCCCAATTTCTTTTAATCGTGCAAAGCTTCTGTACCGCAGAGTCCCGTTATAAATGGCACGGTTACACTTCCTTTAACCAGATGGCGAACGTGTCTGAAGCACTCATGGAATAAGTGTAAAATTAAGCTCGATGCCTTCTTGCCCACTACCCAGACTAAATTTTCCGTTGGGTTATTGTCGGACAATAATTGGGGAAGCTGGCGAATGAAGATGAGTGAGTGTGGCTGAGAAGATTACGAAAACTAGAGTGAGATGGAGCCATAGTGGTCGTAGCAAAGAATCGCTTCCCGGATTCAACGCAGATGTGTCCCCTGTCTAATTGACAAAATTCCCTATGGTTTCTTATGTCTCAAGAGATGTTGCTTGGGATATTCTCAGCTCTTCGCGATAGGAGTGTACCTGTGTAACATACTCTGGTAAGGTACTGCTCCTTCATCCCTCCGTCAAAGGATGCATTCTTATCTCTCCAAGATGCATAATGTTCTAGGTACAGATTATGTGGGTTTTCTTCCCAATATCTTTTCGCAATAGTGGAAAGATATGGGAAAGTGAGCCAAAGTTGGCCCGATGAAGGGCCAATAGGACATGCCAAACAATAAGACGACTTAAACCAACCGAAAGCCAACCATATCCCAGTGATGGCCCAACTAAGGCCAACATATGTGTTCACGAAAAGCCATTGATGGTCGATCAGACGAAAAATTTTTCACTGGTATTTGGTTGGCTTACGGTTTATGCCGGCTAGCGCTTGGGCATNGATTTCAATGATATATGATTCAAACGATGGCCAATTCAATATATTTTCATTGTGGAAAATTTCAGCATTCCATAAGAAATTAGAACAAAGTTACATCATTAATAGTGAAAGCTGCCAAATCATTAGTGTTCAATATGGCAATTGTATTAATAGATCACCCTGTAATTTTCTCGGGACAATTCGAACCTGAGCTGAGAGAGCCATTCGCCAGTCCTGGCAATCTTCGCTCTGCCACTTAAACATTGGGCTGCGTCTGTTCAAGGCCTACTACCGAATTCCCCGTTTTTTCTCCTTCATCACTTCTTATTGCGACCGGTCGTTCGTCGAGTCGTGAGCGTCTGGAGAGGGATATGTATATTCCCTTCTTTCCTGCAACTATCATTGCTCTGAATTGCTTCTTAACTATTAATTTAAAGTTCATTAAGGGTGTCAGTAGTGCTCTCATTCATTTTTTTTTTGGAAGTTAGTTTCCCGATTGGCATAAACGAAGAATTTGAATTCCATCAACTGGCCATAG